GATTTTCTGTTTGTCGATAAGAAATGTAAGAGTGGAATGTTAATTTCAGTTTAGTTCTGTAATGTCAAGAATTTAAGAATTAAAAAATGGATTGGCTAAAAAAAATTTAAAAAGGAAACTTTTTAAAAAGAAAGATTATAACTATATCCAACTATATGCAATCCTTCTTATATCTTCATATCTTTTAATATTTTTAATTTTTAAAAATATTTTATTTATTTGGTACAGGGTCTCACTATGCAGCTCAGACTCATAGTGATCCTCCTGTCTCAGCCTCCCTAGTGCTAGGATTACACACATTCACCACACCAGGTTTTAGAGCTAACACAGTGCTCCTGGGGTCCAGCGGTACCTGGGATCAAACCCAGGTCCTTGTGCTTTCCAGGCAGGCGCTTAGACCACTGAGCTAGCTCTACAGCCCCATTAATTTTTTAAAATTCGTTTTAATGAGAAAAAAAGATAAAATAGCAATGAAACAGTTTCAAAAAGGTTAGTGTGATAGTTACAATAATTAATACATTGCCCCATCCCCATCTTCACATCTTTTAAAAGTCACTACAGGCATTCGAGGAGTAGTGGCACACATGTGTAGTCCCTGCACTGGAAGCTGACGCAGGAGGATTGCTGTGCATTCAAGGCCAGACTGGGCTACACAGCAAGACCTCAAAACAAAATCAAGACAGGCTGTAGTGTAATTTGGTGGCTAAGCATATGTTTAGCATGTAGCAGGCCTTGGGCTCAATTCCTAGTGGCAAAACAAATGAAAAATATCTCTCTTTTTTTTATTATTTATTTATTGGTGTACTGAGGATCAAACTCAGGAGCTTGCATTTGCCAGGTAAGCAGTTGAGCTATATCCCCTGAATCAGGTTTTTTTTTTTTTTTTTTCCAGAACCGGAGATTGAACTCAGTCCCTTGTGCTTTCCAAGGAAGTGCTTATTCTACTAAGCCATCTCCCCAGCCCCTATCTCTCTCTCTATCTCCAAAGTCAGGTGGGTGTGGTTTGTGCAAGTGTGTAATTCCAGTATTTGGGAGGCTAAGGTAGGAGTTTAAGGTCAGCCTGGGCTACACAGTGAGTCTCTGTATTGAAAAAATATCAAAATCAAAATAAAAGCAAGCAAACAAATGAAAAATGAATGAATACCTAAAGGCATTCAGTGCCTAAATGACAATTTGGGAAATACTACCCGAGCCTCTTTCCTTGTGGCTCTTTGATTCCATATTCATTGAACAGGGATGATGTCTTTGGTCCTGTGTTGGGCAGGTACTAAGGGAAGTGGAGGGAAGCCCTGTTCCGCCCTTCCCACTCTACTGACTGCCTAAGAGAAGCTGGACTTGAGACACCTTCTGCTGTGCTGCCCCGCCCCAGGGACGTGCTGAAAGGGCAATTGAGACTGGGCGTGTTGGAACAAGCCTGTAATCCCAGCTCTTTGGAGGCTTAAATAGGGGGATCACTATGAGTGTGATCTAATAGTGAGACCTTGAACACCCTGTAGACCCTTCCATAAGATACACACACACACACACACACACACACACACACACACACACACACGAGACACCTTCTGTGTATAGTTTAAGTTGCTTGAGGGATGACTCAGGAGCAAGCCCAGAGGCATTCCTTGCTCCCGCCATATGCCCAGCTCAGAAGTGCTAGCAGAACCGGGGATTGAACTCAGGTCCTTGCGCTTATTCTACTCAGCCATCTCCCCACCCCCAGAAGTGGCTTTTTTTTTTTTTTTT